CTGCGAGATTGTGTCTCCTAGAATGCCAGAGGGTGGACTTAGAAAGTCTCACCAACGTTGACTGCCCACATGAGCCGAACAAGGATGCCACCAAGGAACATGACAAAGCAGATGGGGAAAGCCTGGTGGGGTCCAGGGGGGGTCGCACAGAGACGAGAACACCTCCAAGTCTAATAAACCAGAAGCAAACTTTATTCCAGAAACCAGATTCCAGGAAAACCAGCAGCAAACTTAAAAATAAAGCAAAACAAAACCAAGCAAACAAAACAAAACAAAAAACAAACAAACAAACAACAACAACAAAAAAAAAAACACTGCGGGGCACAGAAGCTTATCAGCCAGCTGAGACTACAGCCAGAGATGGTGTTTGTTAGGCTGTGGCAAAAGGCCGGTTTCTGACCCCACTTTTTATAGTAGGGGCACCAAGCATTAGGTCTGAACAAAGGAATTTTTATGATCTTGCCCTGATCCGTGGGTCAGTCAATGTAGATCCTAAGGAGGGGAGTGAGTTCTAATGTCAATGGGTAACTAGGCAGCCATCATGAAATATGTTTCAGAGTAGATTACAGCGAAAGTCACTAATTGCAAGAAAACAAGTGTCTTTAGCAACTAGTCAGAAAAGGGACTGCTGGTAATATCAGAGGGTTAATAAATTATAATAATTTGTTCTTAGGCTGGAATTTAGAAGAGAGCAGAAAGTTTTTCACACTATCTCAAGATAAAACTCAGACACAGACTGACATACTTTACAGCCTCCATTATCAGAGCTCATTAGTCAACCTGTGTTTATACCTTGTCCAGTGTTTCTCCTGGTACCTCCAGGCAGTGTATACTGGAGCCCCGTGCCTCCTCTTTGACGGTGTCAGTTTCCCATAACAGAGACAGTGCCTATCCCAGAGGTCATGTATCTCTGTCTCCTAAAAGTTAACTCAGTTCATATCTGCTGTTTATCAAGGCTGGCCAGGACACTACTCTCAGTTTGCAGAGAGAAGCTCCGGCCTTGAAAATAGAACAGCCAGTTGTAAAATAAAAACTTAAGCGACTAAGGAAATAGCTGGGAACATACCTAAGAGAGGCCTTATTATACAACAAAAGTATATGCTCTACTATGTTCATAGCAGCATTGTTTGTAATAGCCAGAACCTGGAAACAACCTAGATGCCCTTCAATTGAAGAATGGATGAAGAAAGTATGGAATATATACATATTAGAGTACTACTCAGCAGTAAAAAACAAGGACTTCTTGAATGGAAATCAAAAATGATATCAATCACATATATTGATTCAGTAAAATACCCAACATCATTCTTGTAATAGAGGAGAGAGTAACCAACTAGACAACATATGTTACCAAATAACCCAAGTTCTAAGAATGAGTTTCATCTTTTTGAATCATGATGTGGTATGTCCTTCGGTATATGTGTTGCTTTTATTGGTTGATGAATAAAGCTGTTTTCACCTATGGTAAGTCTTGGACTTCCCACAGGGCAGGGAACCCTGATTGCTCTTTGGGCTGACGAGGGAGGGGGACTTGATTGGGGTAGGGGGAGGGAAAGGGGAGGCGGTGGTGGGGAAGAGACAGAAATCTTTAATAAATAAATAAATAAACAAAAAATAAAATCTCTCAATCTAAACTTAATTTTTTTTAAAAAATCGAAATGAATAGAATTAACGTTCTTCTGACACTTAATCATTTTCAGAAATCTTGACTTTTTTTTTTAATTTTGGCTTTCAACTACGATTCCAAGAATTAATTTTGTGTCGACATTAGATTCTTTGAAATTGACTTTTAATGTAATATTCTTAAGAACACTTAACTTGCTTATCTCTCCTTACCCATAAAGAAACACATCATTCTTTACGGCTTGCTCTCATCACAAGGGGCAGCTGGAGCTGCAAGGTGCTGGGGATGGGACGGCCTGGCAGAGAATGCCAGAGCCAAGAGCTGAGCAAGCAGAGCCTGAAGGACCTCCCAGGAGCTCAGTTATGCCAGGTAGATGTGGGTGCCTGGCCACACCCATCCTCGGGCACTTATTCTGTGGTCTGTGTAGATCTGGGGGGCAGTGGTGGGGGAGAACACTGTTGAGCACAGCGGATCATGAAACTCAGTGGGCAACATAGAGCTGGAAGTTATATCTCTACAAAGGAAACTGTGGGGTTGATACTAAAAATGAAGCATTAGGAGAGCCATGGTGAGACAGGGTGGCTTAGTTTAAAGAATACAAAGTGTTTCATCTTTCCGTGAGCACAATCCCAGACTGTTTTGTACATTTATGGGAACACGCTCATTCTAAACCCTTAAGTTGGCCTGGAGACCACAGAAGGACGAGAGTGGTCTGGACCTTCTGAATGTGGCTGACAATTGGGGCAGAAGCCAATGATAATGGCACTGGGATTTGTCTCTACTGCATGTACTGGCTTTTTGGGATCCTAGTCTATTTGGATGCACACCTTCCTAAGCCTGGATTGGGGGGGGGGCGCTTGGACTTCATGGAGGAGTGAGAGAGTTAAGAGGACAGGAAGCCATGGCACTTGAGTTAGGTTAGCATGGAGGTTAGCCACATGGTGGACAAGCAGCCTCAGAGCAGGGAGGGGAGTTTTAAACAAATAAAAACCGAAAGTATTAGTGAGAGCATGCTTGAAACACAGGCAGAAAGGAGAAAAGGGCAAGTCATACTTCTCTGGGTGAATCAGAAAACAAAACCACTTATGACCTATTGCTTTGTGAGCCACTGTGATAAGGGGAGGGAATTCTGGAAAGGAGAGTGTGATCTCACTAAAAGGATAATTATTCCCCTGTCTCCTTAGCTTGGCTTACTGAGGATCTGCCTTCCAGAGTGGGAGACCTGACTCCCTGTGGGATAGTCTCTTAGACAGGTATCTGACCTGACAGGGTCCATTCACATCAGAGGTCCTGTTGTCTAGATCTGAAGAAAATAATTTTCTGCCAATGGGCCTTGACTACTTCTGTAACAATACTTATTCTCTGAACATTTTTTTCACCAATTTTTAAATTATTCTCCTTCCTAAGTCTCTGACACAGAGCCAAACCATTGTCTATGGTCCACAAATTAGAACAGAGTTGAACATCTGGTCATTTTTTTTTTCAAGCAAAATATGTGGCCCTGTGCCTTGCTCAGGGTTCTGACCATGGGAAGATGTCTCTTCACCAGGGAGTTCATGGTTGTCCCAGATAGGGGCTCTAATAATATAGATGTACCCTCTGTGTGGTTTCTGCTCAGTGTGAAGAACCATCAGTGCCACACCCTGACCACTTTCTCAACTCTTTCTAGACTATATGAAGCCAAAGGTACGTGTTGGGGCTAGAAAGGCATTGCTACAGATAGATCTAAAACCATAGACATTTGAGCAATTTTTTCTTGCAAGTCGCTTGTTCCCTCAGGACATGTTCAACAACATATATCACAGCTATTTGATGACAGATTCCATTTATGAATGTCTAATTTTATGGTTTAGTGAGTCACATCAATCTCAACTCATGAAGTCTTGCTCAGATCACATGGTAACACTGATGGTAACATGGTAACACATGGTAACTTAGAACACATTGGCGTTCCACTGTCAAGCCTTCAGTTCCCACGAGGGCCAGTAATAAGCCCATAGCTATTTTTCAGAGGAGAGAAGTTGTCTAAAGGTGATCATCATCGAACCTTGCTCCAAATTCTCAAGGGCCTCTCCTGAAATTCACTCACAGAGTCTGCCAAAGACTCCAAACAGCACTCTTAGGTGCTGCTGAGACCAGAAGTCCAATCAAGTATGCTGGATTACATGAGTCAAGTGAGAGAACATTCTACAGAGACGCCTGGACCATTGAAAACCCCTATTTTGTTCTGGCTCCACTCAAAGGCAGAGGCTTTAAGGTTTGCTTGCTATATGGGTTTGAGTAACACACTCAAGTGAGGATTGTGCTGCTTTCAAAATCCACCGAGCTCTGTGTGTCTTAGTCAACGGGCTTCCCACCCAGCCATATGCAAGTAACCCAAAGTAAACCGAGGGAGACTCTTACCGAAAAGAGCCATTAAGGTAGAAGGGATATTTGTTAGAGTTAACATGACAGACAGGCGGTAAGAAAGTATATTGGGGGGATAGAAAATGACAAAATTAGTTATGTATATACAAAACTATTAAAGAATAAAAATTAAATATAAACATCTTTCTGTATGTCAAATACAAACTTGAAAAGAAAGAAGTCAAGAAAAAATTCAATTAAAATTTTTTTTTAAAAAAAATACCCAGGAATCCACCTAACCAAGGTGGTAAAGGATCTCTGTAATGAGAACATTAAGGCGACAGAGAAGCAAGGGATGAAGAAGCCTGAAGATGGAAAGGTGGCCCATGCTCATGGATTGGTATGACGGTGTAACAATTAGTAGAATATCAAAAGTTATGTAGCTAATGGCCTTTTTACTAAAATTTCAGTGTTCTTCAGAACACTACAAAACAGCTTTAAAATTTATAGGAGAACACAAAAGATATATTTTGCATGCTGACACAGGTATGAATTTCTTTCATGACTGGGCTGTGTTGGGTTATGATAGGGTCACTTGCATATGACCTACACACCTGTGACCACAGACCTTGGTCTCTAGATGGCTTCTACAAGGCCTCAGTTCAGCTAGAACACAGTTCTGATTTGTTCGTGAGAAAAGAGATTCACGGCACAGGTGCAGTGCGGTGGAATAGAAGACGGTCTCTTCTCTCTCACCAAAGACAAACAATTTTCACTTGTCAAACCCAGGTGAATTAAAATCATTAAGTTGTACAAAATTTCAAATAAACTTCCAGGTCATTGTTAAATGAGGGCATCTAAAGCCCTGGAGACGAAGCTCAAGCAAAGGTGGAATCCCGACTCTACTGAAAAGGGCCACAGACACTCTCCCAGAACTCAGTTTCCACAGTCAGCTGCACCATCAAACAGAATTATATCTTTTACCTACATAAAAACTTACAGAACCAAAGCCAGAAAGAAAGCAGAATACTACAGTCAAAACCAAGCTTTATTTTTAAGACATCACAGTGTATGCTCTTTTTATTAAAGCAAATTTAAAGATCCTTGTTAGAATCGATAACATAAAGGACTTCAGAGCATGCAATAAAATATCAGTAAGGTTTTCTTAGTGTTCACACAACAGCGTGGACCTTAAAAGTCTTGAGTGTTGGATCCCTCACAGGACAGGCTGGCTAGTATAACGGAGGAGGCCTCCTCGCTGTATAACGGAGGAGGCCCCCTTGCTGTTTCTTCTTTTCTCCTGCTCTAACCTTGTCACCATCATGAAGCGCACATCTTGGGGCAGCATGCTTCTGAGACAATGGTGCAGGAATTTTTTTCACTCTGGCTGCCTTTGCATTGCCATCCAAATCCCAACTGCTACTCTGGCTGGAAGAAAAAGACGTTGCGTGAACCCCAAAGAGTGCAGCAAAGCGGCTTTAGCACAGTATCTGCCTGGAACTTCTACCTTTCGTGTTCGCCACCCACGGTCAAACCAAACTAAGAGAACATCTACAATGAGCAAGGAGAGGCTGTCATCCGCAATCAAACATCAACTATAGCCACTAATTCAGAGCTGCACACTTAGTCAAACAGGGAACGGGGTGTTTATCCACAGCTGACCTAAGTGAAGACCAGTTCCTTCTTGGCTTCCCAGTTTACAGTGGGCGACACTGACATACCTGATCTCTCTCAGGTGACACATTTCTGTCCTCTGTCACATCCTCAAATGCAGGAATGTCACTCAAGAGACATATGCCGATTATCTCCTGGTCTTTCAGTACTGAGTTTGAAGAGCAAGTCATCATTTCCCAGAATTCATCACTAGTCTCCATGGAAAAGCAAACAAAACATTGAAAACCAACAGATACCAGAAAAGCGTGAAAAGAAAAACCACAGTGTTAACAACTCACACGCCACACACTAAGCTAAGCTAAGCTCATTCAGGCCCGTGCAGAAGCTGCTCCTGCCCTGCTCATATTCTGTGTTGTGCTCCTTGATTTTCTGCTTATTTTCTTCCCACACCATTCTTCTGTGTCCTTCATCCTGGAAATCAACACGGCAGGTAATATTTCTTTCCTATTAACTCCCACACAAGCTGACCAAAGGAAGTGTAGGGACAGGCAAAGTAGATCCATGGAGAGGGACCTCGGGACACGACATCCTCCACACCCAGAGGATCAACGAGACTGATCACCTGGAGTTCATTAACACCAGTAGTCTTTAGGCAATCCCTTGGCAACGGCTGGTCTCCGTAGCCACGTCCGTGTCCACGAACTTCCTAGAGGTAAGATCATTCTCTCTGAGATCTCCCTGGACTGCTTCTGTTACTAACCTGGCTGTAAGTTTTCTCATATTTCCTCTTCCACTCCTGCCATTCAGCATCTAAACTGGGATCAGCTGGTGAAGAAGCCAAAGCCATTTCCAAGCAAAGGATAGTTGGGAAAACAACAGGAGCCAGGTATCACAAACCTAGAGAAAGAAGTGTAGGGTTAGCCACAGCAAAGCTATTGACATATTTATTTTTGCAGCATCCGTCAGTTCGATCTCATGCCCTGTGCACCTTGGCTGGTATCTGAAATAGTTTCCAAGGTAGAGGCTGAGGCTAGGACTGCTTAGTCCTTGGCTGTCTAGGAGCTGCTTAAATACAAAGGAGGCCCCCAGGGCACAGGCTCAGCCCCGCCTCCAATCCAATCCCCTCTGGACATTTGCTCTCCCTACCAGGAGGCCTTGGACCACCACCCGGCATCACGTGCAAGCTCAATTAGTTCTTCTGGGTCACAGAGTTAAACATTGTGGCTCAGGAGACAAACTAGATCCCAGGCCCAAGCTCCGTGTGATAGGATGAGGCTTTTTCTGAGAAATCTAAAACCCACAGAATATTCTGCTTGTTACAAAGAAAATCTTCAGGGACATCAAAAATCATGGTAGGATGACACCAATGGGGACAGCTAGTGTCCCACAGTCCTTCCTACCTCAGATTCTGTGTCTGCACGGAGAGCATGTGCTAGTCTAAGAATCGTAAAGGCGCTGCTGACAGCCATCTGAAGAATTAAGGGTAGGTGTCTGTGCCTGCCTTGCCTGAAGCAGCCTCTGACCATAGGCGCGTCTTCAGAGAGGACGAAATACCCACCCCAAACCAGAGATGTTAGACACGCTTGTCATTTCTCCTGGCCATCAGTGTCTCAGTCCTGGAACTCTCATCATGAGTAAAAATCATCTGCGTTGCCTGAACCAAGGAAGAGATGCCTCATGTGTACAAAAGGTGGCCTACAGGGTTGGACTGGACACATGAAACTTGCTGTGCAGACATCCCCATTACGCTGACTAGATAACTGGGCACGACTGCAAAGCAGATGGAGCAAACATCAGAAAAGAGGATCCAGTGTGACTGAAAAATACAGAGAATGTAAATTACTGCGTGTGAAGAGATCTGGTGTGTTTCTATTTTAATATGTCACAGAAAAAAATAAAAAAAAGTGGATTCATGCACACTTTCCTCTGAGTTTTCCAGTTTTGTTATTCACATGTTAGACAGATAATTGATATTTAAGCATGTTCATAAGTTTATTACAGGCAGAATTGGATGGATACAGTCGTATAGAGTGTGTGTGCTTCTTCCTCAGTCAGGGTGGATGCCAGTCTGCACAGCAAATTGAAATATACAGATAATAGGAACAAAGTTTAGCTTGACATTCTAAACAAAATGAAAGAAATCTCTGCATGTTTGCAGTGTGCTTGGGGTTTGGGAAAGTAGTCATGGTTTAATCTTGGCTTAGTGTTCTGTACTTGTGTTTAAAAGTAATTGCAGCATGGCTCCTGGCAACAGGAGCAAAGGGGCAAAGAAGATGAGATCTGTCCTTTTCACACCAGCGGCTGGTGAGTATTTATGCCTAGCTAAACTAACTTCTACCAGCACCTTCTGAAGAGCTGGATTTGCAGAGAGTGCTTGAATTTGGTTTCATCAAGCAATGATTTAAAGTCTAGCTGGGTATAGTTGGCTGTGCTGAAACCTGTGGTCTCCTAGAGTCTGTACATCTGTCCAGATCCTTCTGTGTCTTTGAGTCTCCATTGAGACATTCAGTGATATTCCAATGGACCTGCCTTCACATGCTACTTGGTCTTTTTCCTTTGCATCATTTAATATCTTCCTTTCTTCTGTATGTTTAGTGCTTTGATTTTTTAAAGATTTATTTATTTATTTATTATGTATACAACATTCCTTCCATGTATGCTTTGCATGCCAGAAGAGGGTACCAGATCTCATTACAGATGGTTGTGAGCCACCATGTGGTTGCTGGGAATTGAACTCAGGACCTCTGGAAGAGCAGTCAGTGCTCTTAACCTCTGAGCCATCTCTCCAGCCTGTGCTTTGATTTTTATGTGTCTTGGAGGATTTATTTTCTGATTCTGTCTTTTTGGTGTTCTGTAAGGATCTTGTACCTTGAAAGGCACCTCCTTCATTGGGTTATGGGAATTTTCTTGGTTTTTATGTGAAAACCTTTTCTCTGCTGTTGACTTGGGTTTCTCCTCCTTCCTCTGTTTCTATTACTCATAGATTTGGTTTTTTTCTTTTTTTATAGTTTGTCACATTTTCTGGATGGTTTTGCCTGGATGTATTTAGATTTAACGTTTTCTTTGACTGAGGTGTCCGTTTCTTCTACCTGGTCTTCACTGTTTGAGAGTCTCCCTTCCATGTCTTGTATTCTGTTTTGGGGACTTTTCTGAGTGTTTTGATTTCTTAAAGTTTTCATTTCCTGTTTTAGCAAATTTTGGGTTTTCCTTAGTGATTCTACTTCAACTTTCATGTCTTGCACAACACACTGTTTTTGTTTGTTTGTTTGAATGTTTGTTTTGTATGCATGTGTTTTCACAGACATCAGGGGCCCCTACTGGAGATCACATATGGGTCCTGCTATGGACTCCAGACAGCAATCCTATCTGCCACTGAGGACTCAGGTTCAATCAAGTGTGTTGGGTAAATAGCTAACATGACAGAACATTCTACACAGCAGCCAGGACCTTTCTACACAGCAGCCAGGACCTGTGGAGTAGCCTTATCTTATCCTGGCCACACTCAAAGGCAGCAGCTTTCAAGTTCCTTAGCTATCTGGGTTAGAATAACACATTCAAGTGAGGAATGCAAAGCTTTCAAAATCTAAATAGACTATTAAGCCCTGTGCAGCTCAGTCAGTAAAACTCCCACTCAGGCGTGAGCACAAAGCATTCAGTTCAGTGAACTGAACAACAACCTCCACACCCACTTAAACAATGTAGTAAAGATCCTCTTCAACACAAACCTCAAGACAACTAAGAAAATTGGTCATAAGACCCTTGAGGTTGGAGGATGCTCGTCAGTAGGACTGACCAGAGTGCCACGTCTTTGAGCACCATCTTTCTCGGCAACACGCAAGCTTCCAAATAACGGAAGCAACAAATGGCCTTACTCAGCTGTGACAGCTACGAACCCTAAAGATGTACTAGTTGCACACATATATTAGAGGTGCCCAACTTTTTCCTAATTGAGTGTAGGATCCACTCAACAGGAAGGAATCCACGCCTGGTATTGAAAAGCTAGTCAACTGCCTAGGGCTGATAGAGACATGGATCTTTCAGGAGAATCTACAATCACAATGTACTAAACCAGCATAATCTGTAGTCACATTTTAAATAATTCTCTTTATACCAACAGATAAGTGTATTTCTTCATCCACAATCAAGAAGACTTCTCTTTGTAAAAAAACGGAGACCATTATAGAGAACAACAACCAGGCAATGTGCAGAGTATTGAAGCCCAGCCCAGCTGATACACTTACAAAACAATGCCCTCTGTTAAGGCTCAGGGACTATTGCAAGAAAGGTAGCAAGAGAGATGTCATAACTGGACACCCCTAGCAAGCCTGCCTTCTAAAGCTCCTACAAAGGGTTGGTTACTTCTCATTTAGCAAATGCTCTGCTTTCTTGTAACTATCCATGGTGTTTGTGAGCTTCATGGCTGAGACCTAAGATCATGGAAATGAGAGTGGCCCCCTTACAGACTCACATGCCTGCCTCTAACAATGGACAGGCAGGGTGGGTTTGCTGTTCCAGCCTCTGGAAAACTACTCCCTAGGGAACTGTGTCCCCAGTATCAGTGCACAGAAGTGATGTATTGAAGATCCCAAAGTGCCCAGCTTTACCCAAGGGTAAACATGAAAATCAGGTGGTGTAACTTGTGACAACCGGTTCTATAGGCATGAATCCCCCAAAATTTGGTGAGTCATGGATTCTGAGAGACACTGAAGTGAGGCACCTGCTCTCAGGTCAGAGCCTCTGCAAGCAGTTCTGAAAGGGGCCTCGTGGAACTGTGAAGGTGAAATCTAACTTGCAGTGGAGTTCACAGGATGTGCTGAGTCTAGAACCACAGGATATCCACTAAGGAAAGCTGAACATATCAAGAGCCAGCCCAAGAGAGGCTACAGATCCTGCAGGAACCATAGCTGAGGCACTCAATTGTCTGTGTCAGCCATGGGCATAAGGGTGGAGCTTTACCTGATAGGTTATTGTCTTGCTTTGGACCTTTCATTCCTTGTTGTGTCCCCATAATTCCATTTTGGGATGGAAATTTAAACTCTGCATTGGTCTGTTGGAAGTCTGTAATGAACTGTTATTATTTTAATTACACACAAGGTAATCACAGTTAATGGGCTTTCTCAAGTCTAAGAAAAAAAACCCTGTATTTTGGAGATTTGAACCCTCCTGAAACTATGGTGACTTCTGAGGTCAGACTGAATGCAATTGCCGCAAGAGACAGCCGTGTGTCCTTCTGCACCGCTGGACTCTGTTGGGGTCTGATAGTGTCACTTGAGCATACATTACATTCCTTTGACCACAGACTCTATCCTTTAGATGACTTGTACTTGGTCACAGCACAGTTAGAGCAGGTCACTGATATGTTTTATAAAATGAAATTTGTGGCAGAGGCCAGGACAGTGGGATAGAAGGTGCCTTCTCTGCTCTGATTCGCCACTGTGGCCAATTATATTTGGTCAACTAATGCAAATTAACAAGTTGGAACCCAAGAAAATTCCTTGTTGACTTTCAGATCATTGCTGAAAGTAGACAACCGAATCCCTGGAAAGACAGCTCCACCAGGGATGGGAAACTGACCCTGTGATGAGAGAACCATCCTTCTCCTAGAACACCATCCCACAGCCAGGTATATTGTCAAGCAGAAGGTTTTAATGATGTACAATATTACTGAAATAAAATCAGAAAGCAAGCACAATGCTACATTTAAAGTCGAGCTTTAATTTTAAGATATTGTTGTAAAAAACATTTTATTAGCATGACTGTGCCTGGCCATTCTTATCACAATGTTGCTGTTAAATGAAGTCAGCATTTTCTTCTGCAGGGCACATGCCGGACAATGTGATGGAGAGAACCCCTCCTGCTCCTCCTTTGCACAGGTCCGTTCTCCTCAGCATTGTCTTGGGCAGCAGGCTCCTGAGGCAACGCAAGAGCAAAGGAGTAAAGATTGCTTCACACCTAGGCTATCTTATTGCTGTCAATCATCCCCTCTCGCTACTCTGGCTGGAAGAAAAGCACTTAGGACCTCAATTAGAAAGACTACAGCACAGTGACTTTCTCAGAGTGCCTTCGTGGTCACCATGTTTCATGCCCAACTATAGCACCCCAATCAAGAAGAAAAGATTGTCACCCACACCCCAGTATAAACTCTCTCCACATTCCGTAGAGCAGACCGCTCAGTCCAACAGTGAAGCGCCAGCTGTTTCACAGCTGACGTCAGCGAGGGACGAGACACTGTCATACCTAATCTGCCACAGATGTCACTTAGTTGTTCTCTTCTACCGTCTCAGATTTAGACAAATCTTGTGTGAACTTTGGCCTTCCACAGCAACTTGTCCTGAATTCCTCGTTCGTCTCCATGGAAAAGCAAACAAAAATATTGAGAACCAGGAGACTAACGGTAAAGATCCGAAGTGAAGAAACACAGAGTT